GGGTAAGAACCTCACTTGCATCTGAAGAAGTGAGGTTCTTACCCACGAAAGCTTATGCTCCCACTACTTCTGTTAGTCTTAAAGGTGCCACAGGACCCTCTGTTGCTTTTTACAGATTCAGACTATTACAGCCACCCCTCTGATACTTAACACGAAAGTAGCTGCCCTGTTCCCCGTACCCTAGAGCCCAGCGCTGGGCAGCGCTCTTCTCTTCCCGTCGGCCTTTCCCCTGGGGCCACGCTACGAGACGAGTCCAGCTCGCCTCGCCCCGCCGCGCCTTGCAGCAGGGTCTGTCCGGGGAGCGAGCGCGTGCTCCCAGCGCGGGGCACCCCCCAGGCCCTGGTCCTCCCCGGACCGTTCTCTAAGCTCCGCCCCTGGGGGTGGGGCTTGGGCGCCAGTATGCACGCGCCACGGCCCTGCGTCTCTCCTTGACGCACGCACCCGGAGTTGGCCGCGGGCGCCATGTGCTGGTGAGAGAAGGTGGTAGCGCCTGACGCATGCGCGCTGAGATCTCATTTGTCGCAATAGTCTCACGCGGAAGGATAAGGATAACGAGATGAGTGGAAACATTTTATAGGCTTCTATGGCTCCCTAATCAGGGAGTCCACCGAAAGGAGGCGAGTTATTTCCAGAAACAGATTCATCCGCCGCAATTGGATTCGGTATCGGCTGGGATTCTATACCACCCAGACTTCCTTTACCTATTCGGACTATTTTGTGGAAAGAAATAGTTCCGTTAGGAGCCATATGCCCTGGCCGTGTAGCTTCCTCCGCCTCTGCCGCCATTTCTGGAGCCGCCGCCTTAGCGTGAAGGGGGAGTTCGGAGACGCTGTTGCTCGGTGGCTTGTTCGCGCCTGACTGGATCTCTCCGCGCCCGGGGAGCCCCACAGCTTCAGCCCGAGGCCCGCCCAGCCGCTGCCCCGGCGTCTCTCCTGATGGCGACCTCTGTGGGGAACGTGGCTGACAGCACAGGTACCGGCCTGCGGGGCCGGGCAGGCCGCGCCTCATCTCGCTGTGGGGATGCGGGAGACCTGAGATCGCCGCCCTGCTAGGGCTGTGTGTTCGCGGGGCTGTAGGCCCCGTGTCCCCGGAGGGCCTTGGGGTGGGGCTGGAGGCCTCGTGCCGGGGCGGGGTCCTTGCGCGGGGGGAGTTGCAGGCCCCGCGACCTCTGTTCGTGGAGGCCCGTTTGGTGGTATTTCCTGTTCCGCACTCGGAGAGCGTGCCCTTCCCCCGCGGGGTAAAGGGGTCCTTCTCCCCAGTCAGCCACCTCAGCCATCCTTGGGTTCGTCCGTGTGGACAGATTTGGATATTGATACTGTTGATAAAAAATAAGAATTGAAGTTTAATTCCAGAGCTCAGTTTTCTGGGGTTTTTTAGCCATTACGGCAAATGTGGTTGTTTTAAAGAGAGCTCAACGAAAATATAAAAGCACTGAGGCGTATACATTGGCAGTGGGGGGAGGGTTTTCTGCTGGTGAGAAGCACAAGCTAATACGGAAGTATTCTGTATTCTACCCTGTTGATGTATGAATCATATAAAGTGTCAGCATAAACCACTAGTGTTTGTAAAAAGAATGAGGAGTACTTGTGGCACCTTAGAGACTAACAAATGTATTTGAGTATATTACCTTTTCTGTATTGTGACCAAGTGGCTGAGAAGTTTATACTAAATGATTCAATTTGAAAGGTGGAATTTTCCAGAATCCTGTGTCTGAGGTTCAGTAAGTGTGCATAGAAGAATTCAGTCCCCAGATATTTCACACAGCAACTCAAGGTGTCTCGCTGATCTTGCAAACATACAAATTGGGCACACTGAATTTGTTCTTTCTGTAACAACTTGTGGTAAATAGTATAAATTGTAGGTCTTAAGCTGCAATTTGTGGGGGCCACGTTAGTTTAAACTTTTTTTAACTTTTCTATTTTTTAAGTCACATTGTTTCTTTTTTGTTTTCATATTTCAGTTTTCATCATAGCTTGAATTTCTTGTAAAGCATCACTGAGTGTGCATTTTTGATGGGTTGTAGAGCCATGATTTATTTCGCACTTGTGTGAAGGCTTTATGAACTAGGGCCCAGAAATATATTTCTTGGGAAGTGCCTGGACCTCTCCTGCTACCTTATCCCCTTTGTTCCAATTACAATTTTCAGGAGTTCCTTTTCTGTACTTTCAGGAGTATGCGTTGAAGTGAACCAAGTACTTTATTTCATAAATTGACAGCTTATTAGGAAAATGCTTTTAAGATCAAATCTTTTGCAAAAAAAAAATTAGCTTTTGGGGTCTTTTTATAGCTTTTTCATATTTGTTTTCTATGCTGGTTAGCGCTGTATCTGAGTACTTGATAAACATTAACTTATTGTCACAGCATATATTATGCTTGATCAAGGTCTCTCATAAAGTCAGGTACTCTTTAGAAAATATTTGAATTAGTGTATTTATACTAGACTATATAAATAATAGCTAAAGAGTTCTGTATGAGCCTGAGGAAGATCTCTTCTGGAATCTACTTAACTATCATGGTTACTTACAGAACTACTTTGAGTTGAAGTGGACTCTAGATCAAGGTATTAATTGCAAGGCTGTGCATTTGTTGGATAAATTGGTGTCTCTTATATATCAGTGTTAAAGAGAAGGGCTCTGATTTCCTTTTGGACTCTGATCTAGCAGGCCACCCCACATCCTCCAATACTTGCAAATAGGACCAGTTCCAAAATTTAACAGAAAGGAGTGAAGTGGTTGGTTGGCACTAGTGCTCCTGAATTTAATTGGTGGGGAGAAGTGGGGATGTTGCTCATTTTCGAAAGAGTTGGCAAATGAAGGAAGTCTAAGAGTGTGTTTCACCTATCCTCAGGCTAGTAAAATACATTCTCCCAAGTTTTGGACAAAAGTAAAGCATCTCTGATCCACTTCCTTGTGTTTGTCACCCTCCAGGTCTTATCTGGACTGCAGTTTTAAGCATGAAACTTAGATGTTGTTGTTTTTGGCAGACGGGGGAGATAAAAATTTGTATCTTAAGAATCAAAGCAAACAAGTAAACCAGATTACCTTTAGTTTCACAGGTGTAAATCTCATTTCAACATTTCCCTCTTGATTTAAGGGCAGTAGTACATAGCAATTGATTTCCTCCTTTTAGCTTTCCTTGTCTTTGCAACTTCAGTAGTAGTAGAATGCTTAACAGCAGGGATTGGATTTTTTTTTTTTTTTAACCAGGCACCAGCTATTTGAAGGACTAAAACTCAACCAGAGGTAGCACCAGTGGGAACTGGGTACCTGACGATGTGGTCTAGGCCAGTGGTTTTCAAACCTTTTTTCTGGTGACCCAGTTGAAGAAAATTGTTGATGCCCGTGACCCAATGGAGCTGGGATATAGGGTTGGGGTGAGGGCTGGGTATGAGGGGTTCAGGGTGTGGGAGGAGGCTCTGGGCTGGGGCAGGGAGTTAGAGTGTGGGAGGGGGTCAGTGCTGGGGATGCAGGCTTGGGTGGGGCTGGGGATGAGGGGTTTGGGGTGCAGGAGGGGGCTCTGGTTTGGGGGGGCTCAGGACTGGGGTTGGAGCGCAGCTCCAGCAGCTCCCAGTCAGTGGTGCAGCCAGGATGCAGATGCAGGCTTCTTGCCTGTCCTGGCACCGCGCCCCTTCCCCCACCCCTGCCTAGGAGCTGGGCCTGCTGCTGGCCGCTTACGGGGCGCAGTGCGGTGCCTTAGCCGGGCAGTGCCGATGATGGGACCCAATGTCTTTCATTCTGCGACCCAGTAATGGGTCACAACCCACAGTTTGAAAACCATTGGTCTAGGCAATCCTCTGGTGAGCTGCCTAGTCCTCCACCAGATCAAGTTCCTGGGAATGGTGGTGTCCTTAGATTCCCGAAGAAGAGTCCAGCTTTCATAGCCTGTGACTAGTAGTAGGATTAAAAATTTGAAGCACCACTTATTCTTTCAGCCTATTTTGGAAGTTTGTGAATAACTTAAGCCAGCTTCTCTTAGGAGCTTTCCAAAGCTGTGTGGTAAAAGTTGAGGGATTCATAGTTCTGTACATGACCAGAGTGTTGCTAATTCCACCCTAGGGCAGCATGTCAAAGCTATGAACAGTAGGAGACACACTAGAGCTGTCTGTCTTCCCTTGGAAGATAACACTGAATCAGCTTAGCCTTCCAAACATGAACTGAGTGTCTCTTTATGATCAGCACTGGAAAGATTCATTTTTGAATGAAAGATTGAAGGGATACCATCCATTTGAAATGAGTGAATTAAAAAACTGAATAAGTAGCTTCAGATTCCCTTGACCTTTTTCTTTCTTTTTTCACAATTTCCTACTTTTCACACAGCAGTATACTTTTTAGATTCTCACAAGCAGGGGAAACTGACTTTCGGGGATTTCTGTAGTACCTATATGCTTCCCTGGTAAATTAGATCTGTTTGAGGTCCCTAGTATTACGGAGGGTTCAGCTGTACTTGGGATTTACATTTAATAAAATGAAGATCAACTAGGTTATGGTGCAAAATGTTTGTGTGAAACTGGCTGCACAAAGGTGTCGTAGCGCACCCACAATAACTGGAAAAATGGAAGTCTTTCATTGGTCTTTCATTTACAGTAATCTTCAGTGTTACAAGTAACAATAAGTGGTACTAAATGTTCAGACAGAACTTGGTGCAGGGCAACTTTCCTGTTCTCTGGGACAAATGGATTTCTCAAGCCCTGCTTAGTAGTAGCCTGATTGTTCATTTTCCATGCCAGGTAGCTGTGATTTGTAGTTGGGAAGTAGGATTGCATGATCTTTGTCTCAGAAAGGTGCTGTTTTATTTAAATCTTTAAAATATGCATATATACAACAAAAATATTCAAGATTTATCAAACATGTAAAACTCCTCTTCCTAATCTAACTAGACATTCAAAATTAATAACTCCATCTGCTTAACAACCTTGCCCCCCAAACAGCCTGTCCTTCCTAATGACCCATTCCTTGAAAGGCTTGGAGAATATAGTCTTTAATTACAGCATGCTCTGTCAGCCAAGCCACCCTCTGGATGTTTTTTCGTTGTTTTGTTTTTGTTCAGCATAGATGAGATAAGCAGTGTGTGAGGGCAAGGAAATACTATTTGAGCCTTGGTGGCACCATATGAAAACTTAGAAACAAGTTCTAATGGAAAACAAGTCTGCATATGTAGCAAAAGTCTTTCTGTTCCCTTTCTTTTATTTCTTGATTTTTGCATGAAACCTATATCTTTATTTTTAAGAATGCTACTGTTCTTGCTGTTTCCCACCCAATATTTACTAGAGAAACTGATTATAATATTATGAGCAGGTTCTAGCTTCAGGTGTGGGGGGGGGGAATAAGCAAACAGATTCAACCTGTTTTCATGCTGAGATATTTGGTATTAAGGATAGGAAATACAATATTGCAGCAGAAGTTTCTTCAAATAGAATTTCAGTGTGAAGTCTCTAATTCAGTTTTAAAAACTCAGTGGTTGTATGTTATATTATTTAGTTTGATAGTTTTGTATGTCATGAAAAGAAGCAGGGAGTAATGACTATTTTCAGAAATTCACCAGTTTTTAATATATTAATTATAAATTCTTATTGAATATATTTCCCAACTCTGACTGAGAAAAGAAGACCATTGTAAAGTAGCATTAATTTTTATGCTTAAAGATGTCACAGAAGTATGTTGAAATGAAGATTTAGGAGTTTAAAATGCCAGACACTCTAGTGCTTTACGTAGTTTCAAGCATTTTCATCCTTTAATTTTACACACCATATTTTTACAACTTTTTGTTTCCATTTTCTAACTTTTTGTTTTCCCCCCTAAATGTTTTGGTGATTCTCCAGAACCAACGAAACGTATGCTTTCCTTCCAAGGGTTAGCGGAGTTGGCTCATCGTGAATATCAGGCAGGAGACTTTGAAGCAGCAGAGAGACATTGCATGCAGCTTTGGAGACAAGAGCCTGATAACACTGGCGTTCTTTTATTACTATCATCCATTCACTTCCAGTGTCGCAGACTGGACAGGTAGGAAATTTGGAATGTCCATTTATACTCTTTGTATCGTTAACACTTCTAGTCTGAAAAAATAATCTATTAATGCTGTCTGCAACTATGAGAAACTTTGTTATAATTCTAGTTAATTTTGTTATCAAAACTGATATTTGAGTCACTATTTGACTGACAACAGAGAAGGTCAGGGCACTAACCTTAGATCATTTTTCCGTTTTTGGCTTTGGTTATGGTGAATAGCATCCCAGACAACTCCAAGGTAGTGTCTAATCTTCCTTCTGGGCTTTTTTACCACTTTCTGTAGAGGTCGTGTCCAAGGTTGGTAAATTCTGCTCTGTGAAACCATACTCCACCAGTTTGGGAATGGGAGCCTCCAAAATGACAATCTTCATGCAAAACACATGAAAGTGTGTTAGCTTTTATTAAGCCTCCTCAGAGCTTTGGGTTTTGTGCTCAAAGTAACGGAATTGAAGAATAGAGAGAGACCCGCATTCCTCTAAATAGCTTAAGTTGGTTAAACATGTGACAGAACTTCTTTTAATGCCATAAATGGACAAATCAGCATCAACTGTATGTACCAGGTGCACTCAAAGGCACTTATACCTTATTTCTTCTGGTGCCACTTGGACACTAGCTGTTAGGCCGCAACATATGTTGTTTACCTCTGAAATATGTTCCTCTCTTTGGAATCTTTGTGAAATTTTCTTAGCCTCAGAGGTGACTCATTGGTGTATTTTTACCTTCATTAATCTTTCTGCTATGCCTCAGATGTTTAAAAGCTTGCTAGCTGTTCTAGTTATTGGAGGTGTAACTACAGTAATTAAATGGTGTGTTTAGAATTATTGCTACAAGCATCTCCTCACCATAGTGCATTGGTATCATTTTATGTGGTTTAGATCAAGTGTAATATTTCCCAAGTTTAGGGATCAAAAAGTTTCTACATCACCCCTCCCTGTTATACTGTCTGTTGAAAAGAGTCAGAAAAAACATATGCGTAGGTTGATCGGAAGGAGTGCCAAAGCCTGCAACTGTGAAAAGTGTGAATCGAAGTCTTGCAGTGTTTTTGATTCATCAGTGTGATCTTAGGCCAGAAGATTTGCAAAATTCAACTTACTTCTGACAAGTAATCTGTCTTGAATGAGCATGTAAAATATTGTGAAGTTGGAATAGTAGATTTTATGCCTGGGCAGATAAAACTTGCTGGATGGTTTTCAAGGATGGCTAATTGGTTATATATTTTGACTGATTTGAGCAGGGCTTTGGAGCTGTGCTCTGGCTCCGCTCCAGCTCCAGGCAAAAACCTGCAGCTCCACTGCTCTGGAGCTGCTCCGCACTCCAGCTCCGCTTCAAAGCCCTGGATTTGAGATTGTACCAGTAATTCTGGCTGTAGGCTTGCCTGTAAACCCCACTATTGGCAAGTTGTTTGTGTTAACCTGTCTGATTTTCTCCAGGTCTGCTCACTTCAGCACTTTGGCTATTAAACAGAATCCATTGTTGGCCGAAGCCTACTCGAATCTAGGGAATGTGTACAAGGAACGTGGGCAGCTGCAAGAAGCTATTGAGCATTATAGGCATGCACTACGCCTCAAACCAGATTTCATTGATGGATATATTAATCTGGCTGCTGCACTGGTAGCTGCAGGTGATATGGAAGGGGCAGTACAAGCCTATGTTTCTGCCCTTCAGTACAATCCTGTAAGTAACACTCTGTTCATAGAGCTCCATGTTATACCCCACCATCAAGCACACTGCTGCTTCAGTACAGATAGAGAAGTCTTTGGTTTACATGATGGTTTGAAGAGTTAAGGCTGGTGGTGAAACCCTAACCATAGACTTAGTGCAGGGGTTCTCAAACTTCATCGCACCAATTACTACGAGACCCTGGAGGGCCAAAGCCAAGGCCCCACCACACCGGGCGGTGGAGGTTGGGCGTCGGCTTCAGTCCTGGGCCCCAGCAGGTCTAACACCAACCTGGCGACCATTTAAAATGTGGTCACGACCCACAGTTTGAGAACCGCTGACAGTGTTTCTAGTGATCAATTAACATGCTTTTTAAAAGGCATGACATTCTTTGCTTGTCTGTGCAAAAAAAAAAAATTATTTCTGGGAATGTTCTATGACTGCTTGTTATATACTTACCTGTATAATTGAGTTAATAAAGGAAATTTCCCAAGCAATGACTCTGAAAAACATTTGGGAGTCGTGGTGAATAATCAGCTGAACATGAGCTCCCAGGGCAATGCTGTTGCCACAAGGGCTAATTCAGTTCTTAGCTGCATAAACAGGAGAATCTCGAGTAAGAGTAGAGAGGTTATTTTACTTCTTTGTAATTGACATTAGTGAGACCGCTGTCAGAATACCTAATTCCGGTATCCAAAATTCAAGGATGTTGATAAATTGAAGAGGGTTCAGAGAAGAGCCAGGAGAATGAAGAAAGGATTAGAAAACATGCCTTATAGTGGTAGACTCGGGGAGCTCAACCTGTTTAGCTTAACAAAGAGAAGATTAAGGGGAGGCTTGATTAGGGCTTGTGTACACTTAAAACGGTGCACTGGCACAGCTGTAGTGCTTTAATGAAGATGCTCTATGCTGAAGGAAGTGAGTTCTCCCATTGGCATCGTTAATCCACCTCCCCAAGAGGTGGTAGCTATGTCAGTGGGAGATGCTCTCCTGCCAGCATAGTACTGTCTACTCTGGCGGGTAGGTCAATATATCTACATTGCTTTGGGTATGATTTTTTCCACACCCCTGAGGGATGTAGTTATATTGACATAGGTTGGTAGTGTAGACTAAGCTTTAGTCTAGAAGTACCTACATGGGGAGCTGATACTTGATAATAGGTTCTTCAGTCTAGCAGAAAAAGATATAACGTGATCCGGTGGCTGGAAGCTGAAGAAATTCAGACTGGGAATAAGGCATACGTTTTTAATAGCGAGGGTAATAAACCATTGTAATAGTTTACCAAGGATTATGGTAGATTCCCCATTGCTGGCAATCTTTAAATCAAGATTGATGTTCTAAAAGATATACTAATTTGGGGAAATTCTGTGGCCTGTGTTATACAGTAGGTCAGACTAGATCACAGTGGTCCCTTATGGCTTTGGAACCTATGAATGATTTTAGATTTTTTTTTCTAATAGGTGATTTGCTATTGATGCCTTTGACTTACCTGGGGAAATTCTGTGAGAAGGAAGAGAGTAGGGAAAAATTGATCTCTGGATTGAGAACTAGGGAATGCTGTACTGTCATTAACATCTTTTGAAGTTTTTAAATCCTATAAACCTGAAAGTTGTTAAATACTAATAAATCCATACTATGGATTAACAAGATGCAAAAAAGATTAATATTTAACATTTGTGTTCCCTTGGATGGGATCATCTGCTTTAGTGACTTTGTCAAATACCTAATGCCAAGATGTTACTGTTCATTATCTTTTTAGTCTTCACTAGAGCCTTGCAATCTGACAGAATCAGAATACAGTTGTGGGGTTCGGGTCAGGTCAGAATATAACCTGACCAAAATGGGTAAGGTAGGCTCTGTCACCACCTACCCATGCGGTCAGTGTGGCAGTGGCTGCAGGCCCCTCTCCTGCTGGCCACTACAATGTCTCTGTGGAGTAAGACTGATGTAGACTTCTCACTCCACATCATGCACAGTACAATGAGGCCATGGCAGCCAGAAGGAGCAGGGCATGCAGCAGCTGTCATGTCAACTCCGTGGGCAAGGGTGGCAGGAAACCCCCACCAGGCCAAACCCCAAGGACGAGGAGGCCATGCTGACACAAGTTCAGGGGGAAGGGTCATCTTTGGGTCAGTTCTATAAATGCCTCAACATACTCAGGTTGGATTTGCATTGGGTTGTGCTTGCTTCAGGTTCATGTCAGGGTTTAAAATTAGGCCTGAGCTGACCTCTGGTCTGCATTGTGATCTCCAAATACTTCACACAGCCCCGCTGACTGCAGTGGGACAATTGGCTACTGGATCAGGATTGTCAGTTTCCCGGGGAAAAACTAGTTTAGGACCGGGCGCTGGTAATTACTGGTTTAAACCAGGAGTCTGCGAGAAATAATTGTTAGTATCCAGAAGTTCAGCAAGCATAGAACAAATCATTTCAAACTTTAGATGCATTCCTTCAGAACTGAGGAGTAGGTTCAAAGTTGGTCTTCTGCTATAGTATGCTGCATGACCAATAGGACCTGGACTGGTAGTCTGCAACTGTGCATGCTTCTGATTGCTTAATGCTTCAGGCCTACAACTCTGCATTGTCTTTTTCACATAATCAAATGTTTTTGACTTTTGTTTATATAATATTGAAAACCGAAATGGGTCATGACATGTATAAATTCTCTGAGAGGGTACTGAAGCAAAATATATGCAGATATTCTGATCAGTATTATACATACATATATTATGTATTATACACACTCAGTTTTACTTTTTGTGCATCCGTAAATTAATCCACATATACTGTCTTGTGTAACCACAGTTTAAATATGTAACTAAAACTAAGTGTATTGTGGTGTCCATTAACAAAACTGTTTTAAAATAGTCCAAATGTAAGGCATTTTCTAACTGGCTTTTTCCTGGGGTGGTTAAAAACCATGATTTTATTTGATTAAAAAATAATCTCTGGTAAAAAATTGTTAGGTTTAGCTTTCCTCATTGCAGCACACTGTCGGCTTGTGCGCTGTTCAGGAATACTGCACTATTGTTTCCTTGTGTTCTACTCAATGTAAAACAAGTTTAAAATGTGTATCTTTCCGGGGAGTGGACGCTGGAAATGCCTTCCTCTCCTGGTCCTCCCATTTGCTGCCAAAATAATACTTTTAGTTCTGAGTCCTGGCTCTGGTTACAATGAAAGTAAGAAAATGATAAAATAGAGACAGCGAAGCAGGGGAAATGGGACAAACTACCAAATGAACAAAATTGGAAAAGAAAAGCTGCCTTAGAGGCAGGGTTACTTTCTGTCTAGGTACTTAAGGTTCCCATCACAATAGAATCTGAACAAAGCACTGATAATTATGAAGGTACGATTAGGGTGATGGGTTTGAGACCTAAGGTAGATTTTTGATAGTTTCTCCCAAAATTATTTTCACTACTGCTCAAAAGAATTGAGGCTCTCATACAAAAACGAGACCTAAAAACTTATTTTCTTTGTTTGCTGTTGGTGTTTTTCCATTACTGGAATTGGATTAATTGAGTGCTTCTCTTTATAGGAGTCACCATATTACTGTTTAACAGCTTGATTACGCACTACATCAAAGATTTTAGGTCTAGAGAAGTCATTAGGCCTCATCTACTTGGTTACGAAGGATCTTGAACAGTACAATAGAAAACAATGAGCACTAGGGGATTAGAGAAGTTTAAGCACTTTCATGAGGTCTCTTCACTCCCAAGTGCAGCTGCTGACAACATGACTTTGATTTTCAGGACTTGTACTGTGTTCGTAGTGACCTGGGGAACCTGCTCAAAGCCCTGGGTCGCTTGGAAGAAGCCAAGGTAGGTGTTCAGTAGAATACATTTAAACATCAATGTTTTGAAAACTTGAACTTTTCACCAAGTCTTCAAATCTGCGTTGATCTGCAAACAATCTGAGAAACTGCTGAAAACTGAAGGCACTGAATTGCCCCAGCGTAGTTGCAGGGCAAGATATGGCACGTCCATGTTAAATGTTGGTTTAAAACAAGAAACGGAACATTACTGAGTCTTTCTGCTGAACTAGACTATCTGATATCATTCTGAAGTCTTGGGCAGGGCCTTCACCATGATCTTATCTGGAAATAAATAACATTCCTTCAAATCTGAGGCTTGCCTGCTGGTGCCAAGCAGAGAGCCTGTGATTTAGCTCGAGATTCCTGTACAATGCAGGTGCTATTGAAAATGCTGCTCTTCTAAAGTCCTTTGCGGCTTGTAAGTGGAGAAGAACCTTATCCAAATGTTACTCTGTAATATTGGCTTTTAAAGATTTTATTCTTTAACCTTTCCCCTCACCTTTATAGTGGAAGAAAGGCTAATAAACTATCATAGATGCAGTACATCATCCCCTAAACTTGTGCTTCCATGTCTTCCCCCAAAATAAAGCATCAGAAGGACAAAGCTGGTTTGTTTGGGAAATGAACTGATTGAAAGAAAACTTGCTAAAGTGGAAAGGTGGCTTCTAGCAGTCTGTGTTTCCCAAACTGAGAATTTGAACACCAACATGGGTTTTAAAGCTCTTGACATATTTAAAACTTTGATTGCAAAACAAAATGGTCTTGTTACAAGCCACCTTACGCGTCCGCGCTGCAGGGGTGAGGAGTGTGGAGAAACCAGAGTGACTTTGGACTCCACGTCCGTCACTCCAAGCCCCACGCGCATGCTAACAAGTGGAGTGTATGAATAGTGTAGCTGTCTGTTTGGCTGCAGCACCATTTGGGGAGGGATATTGCTTTCAGCACTATCTATTACAGGGTAAGGGGAGTGCTACTTTAAAGTGCATTGTTCATATTTTTTTCTGACAACTCGGATGCATACTTGTCTAGACCAGCATAATTCACAGTTGGTCAGATCTGAGCTGAACAGATTCTGAAATAGTAGTTCACCAATTATAAATGTCTTTGAGACACTTGGTTCTCAGCCCACCAAGTGGACAGCTAACATGCATTGCACTTCACTGCAGCTTTAGTGTGACTGGTATAGGCCAAGACACTGCGCCTGCCTTAGGTTGCTGACCTCTTTGTTTCAGAGCTCTGGAGACACCTAGTTTGAAAGTTATTCTGTTTTTTTCTGAGAACTCATTGAGCAAGAAAAATATCTTGAGTAAATTGCAATGTATTTCTTTGGTTATCAGTGCATTTGAAAGATCAAGCCAGCAAATTCCTTACAGTTTGAACCAAAACTTAATTTCTTGGTAGACATTTCAGAGCCTTTCTTCCAAAAAAAAAAAGTCCCTGCTGTATGTAATAGCCCTGATTAACCCTCTCCCTTCTGCATGACTCCTATGTTACAGATTGTTCTCATTCCCATGTTAGACATATCCAGAGAATTTCAATTGCTTTGTTGAACTTTTACTAATGATCTTGTTTTATTTTCTCTCTTGTTTTTGGTTTTTCACCACTGATATTGTATTTAGAAGGTTTCAGGTGGGTGAAACCTCCTATTCCATGCGTAAGGTGCCTCGCTGAAGGGAGCTCGAGGCCTGGATCTAGGGCAGACACACACCTCCTCCTCCTCTTCCAGCAAGGAACGCACCGAAAAGTCACATGATGAGAAATATGGTAACGGGTTTGTAACTGCCACAGCAAAACCATTTGCCTCCATGCCTGAATCTTCTGTCTTGTGGCTCCAGAAACAGCTTAAAATATTTTATTTACAAGCAAGTAATGTAAGAGAATGTTTTATACTACTAGCCACAATTCTTTCAAAGAAATAAAGTAAAAGTAAATTAAGATATTTAAAAAAAAAAAGAAATAATAATTGGAAATAGTTTATAGTAAAAGCTTCTAACTCTTCTGGTTGTTCATTTTTTCCTTTTTTTCTTCTTTGTTTGGATTGCAGCGTTCTGCTCTTCTGATGATGCGCTGTGATCCTGCAGTAGCGCAAAGGCTGCGCAGCGGTAACGCGCATTGCGTGCGAGTAAGCCCTTGTGAACGGTTGACTAGATGATTAATCTGTGATTGGGCGGCTGTCTGAGCTCCATGCCATACCCTTTTAGATAAAATCGGGTCACCGTTCATTTAGTCCAGATGTCAAATTTAACATGGAAGTTTCTACATGGGCCTGTCTGGTAGATTAATGATTCTGGTTGGCCGTTCACTCTATCTTGGGGCAGTCTATGTAGCACAGCAATTTGCAGCGATAGCGTGGCGGCGTGCTGTTAGGATGCGCCAGCGACTTCTTGCGCTTGCATTACAGGGACCTAAACCTTCATGCAATTCTGTTATTTGAGGTTTTGAGGCTGAGATGACTCAGTGAAAATATATTCAAGAGGGAGAAGTTGTGAGTAGAAATAGCAGAATAAAATACAACCTGCATATAACTTCTGACTCAGGGGAAAGGACAGGTAAGCCTTCAAAAATGTTAACGCCACTTTCAGTAGTTTGCTTCTAGATTTTTTTTTAAACATTTTATATCCACATCTTCAGAGTACTTCTAAAATCATATACATTTTTCCTGACTTAAGGCCTTTGTATCCAAGGGAAACCAGTTGTTTATGGAGTAAATTCTTGATGACTCCTAGATGTGGCAGACAAGTCAGAATTAGAAATGATTTGGAAGAAAAATCCTCCGTTCTGTAATAACACGTATGTCCTCAGGTGAATTGGTATCTGAAGGCATATTACCTAAAGATCAGCATAACTGAAAAATGGTGGGCTTGCACTTAGGTTTTGGTTTGCGCTGGCGCAGGATCAGCCAGCTGTTTACAGTGCATTAGTTTTGGCGCAAGCTAGCCTATACTGCAGGATCACTTTTGGCTGGTTAGAGAAGGAATACTGACAATTATTTTTTTTTCTCATTTTTCTTTTTACAAATATTCCCCTTCCTCTCTATCTTTCTTCTTAACTGTTTCAAGGCCTGTTACTTGAAAGCAATTGAGACTCAACCAAACTTTGCAGTAGCATGGAGTAATCTTGGCTGTGTTTTCAATGCTCAAGGAGAAATTTGGCTTGCTATTCATCATTTTGAAAAGGTAACTATTTATGCCTGTCATGTTCTTCAGTTAATTCTAGTGAGCAAAGAATTGTGTAGATACAAATAAGCACTTTTCTAGCTGGGAGAAGTCTTCAGGTCTGCATATGCTACTACCCAATGTGGTATATTGTTAATTATTGGTATAACTTAACTCATGAAATACCTATTCACGTGTAACACTGGAGTAGTGTTTTAGAATTGCTGTAATAAGGAATTTTCATAGGTAAGTGGCTTTAATAGCCTTTTTCCATCTCTAACTCCTCTGAGAACTGCTTTATTACAAGCATTTCTAAAATGTCATCCTGGTAGTATCTGCGCACTCTTAAATAAAGATGGCTAGTACAATTTCCTGTTCAAGTAGTTTTCTTCAGTTTGCTGTTTCCAAGTTTTTCCGTTGAGCAGCTTAGGAAAATTACTTTAAACAGATGTACTAATTGCATTTTCCCAGGATGTTAAATATTGTTTCCTGTTCATGTTTCTACTTATAAATTCTTATGTATATATAATTCCTGCTCTCGCTAGTGTGCAACACCTCCCAGTTAGCGTAATCTGATAATGTGCTGTTTCTCTTCAGATTCCTTAATGGTCTAAATCCGGTCCTATTATATCCTTCGTGACAATTTTTTTTTGGCCTCTGTGATATAAACCAAGAATCACAAATGGCAATTATGATCATTCAGCTATTTGTAGTCGATGTGGTAGTTTTCATATGAATCGCTTTTACGTTTTTAGTCTATCAAATGCTTATCTAAAATCTAATCATCTGCATTCTTTATTTTGTATCTTCTGTAATTTATTAGCATACTTTCAGTTCCTAGTAAAATAATGTACCGGCTATGAACTTGCTAGAATAGCCTTCTAAAGACCAATACAATATTTGCTCTTTTTTACTCTGGTACCGACTCTGTCTCTATAGCATCTAAAAAAATTGTAGTTGGCTTTGTATTTTGCCACAGGTGAGGGATATGGATTGCATTTCTTAACCCTGCAAGTACAGGAGGGTTGTTTCCTAAAACAGGTAGAGAAATCATAGCATTACATTAGTGGGGGTAAAGCAGAGTAAACCCAACTTCAAACAAATCTTTAGGGCACAACTGTGGGGTTGAGGAAAACTGTTCTTATAGGAAGGGATTCACACCAAAATGTGTGAGTGATTCACCCAGACACGTCTGTAGGATTTCCATTAAGTCTCACTGGTTGTAAAGCCATAAACGCTGTTGTCTGTTGCTCCATCGTGCAGAATAGCTGTGCTTCAGCATCACTGTGATGCAGTGACCCCCGTACGATCTTGCAAATATCAAGAATACTACATGATGAAAGATGTTAGTTTATTTTATAACATAAAACAACCACAATTGACATCTGTTGGAATCCATTTTGACAGGCAAGGGATTGTATGAACATGGAGACAACTAGGTCAGGGTTGATACAGGAGTGGGTGGGTGAGTTTCTGTGGCCTGCGTTGTGCAGGAGGTCAATCTAGACAATCATAATGGTCCCTTCTGACCTTAAAGTCTATGATTCTATATGTTGGTAGGCCAGTTTAGGGAAGCTCGTACTGTTGTGTGTTCTGTGGATAAAAATAGGACTTCAGTCCTCACTGTTGTCAATCCAGCATCTTTCACAAGTGCTAAATTCACTCCAGAAAGCAAGCAGGAATATGTTGTGTATATTAGCATTTTATGCTTGCCTTTCATCTTCCTTACTCGTAGTTTGTTTATAGATCCTTTAAATAACTGTTTACAAATTGGGTTATATCCATTAAATAAATATTAACTTCGGGTTTCTTAGGGTACTGTTTAAGGTATGTGGTAATGTTCAAAGCTTGTTACCTTTTTTAATATCTTCAGGCTGTGACACTTGACCCAAACTTCTTGGATGCTTACATCAATCTGGGGAATGTTCTGAAGGAGGCAAGGATATTTGACAGGTAAGCATATAACATCCCTTCAGCAGCCAATCAGATGCTTAACCAGACATGGACTTCTAATTTAGAAAGCTTTTCTTTCTTCAAGCATTGCTTGTAAAGACTGCAATTCAAGGAGAAACATGCTCTTGATATGCAAGCTTTGAGCTTCCTGGAGAGCAGAAATTTAGTCTTGTCTTTCACTACCCCTGTCGGTATCCTTCTTGTGAGATCTTATGCTTTCATCTCATTTTTATTAATACAGTGTAGTTAGGTTATTTACCAAAACTTTTTAGTTCTTCTGTGCCTCTTTTTTTCTTTTTTTTTCTTTTTCCCTATTGAGACTTTCCTGCTCCATTGTAGATGACTTGTGTTCATAGAATCATAGATGTGTAGGGCTGGAAGGGACCTCAAGAGGTCATAACGTCCAGGCCCCTGCGCTGAGGCAGAACCAAGTAAATCTAGAGTCTAGACCAGTGGTTCCCAAACTGGGGTTCGTGAAATGTTACAGGGGTTCTTGGGAATAAATTCCCTAATGGCGGACAGAGCTGTCCCTAGGAATCCTGGGCAGCACGGGGCCAGCACCCTGGAGCCCCTGGACTTCCAAGAGCTAAGCAGATCAAAGCAAGCATATCTGTTACACTGAGGTGATTTAAACTTCATGACTCTTTATAAGAAATGGAAAGGGAGGTGGATATTTCTTGCTGTTTTTAAAATTAAATAGGCAGCTAGTATTGTTTTTAAAATTATTATGAACAAGTTTAAGCTTTGTAACATGCGTTGTTTGCCTAGACTGCTCAAGACCTTAGTGCTTGTGTAGGAGGAACTCTTTGAGTTGGCTTCTTAAATACCTTCATGCTGTTTCACATCTGATACTCCTTGATGAAACATAGGAGCCTTCTCTTATAACAGGCTTATTCAAGCTACGAAAGTGAGACCTTGGAAGAGTGTTGCCATTTTCATAATGTAATAAAAATACTGTAATGATACACACTATTGATTATTATTTAATAAGCATATCATAAAAACAAATTTTGTCAAGATCACTGCTTTTATCATTTATACTCAGGTAAAGGAGAAAATCCCTGGAAATATTCATTTTTAGGAGGGGGTTCGTGAGACTTGACATTTTAGTGAAAGGGGTTCACAGGTTGTTAAAGTTTGGGAATCCTAAAATCTTGCCAGCAGACCTAAAACTGATAAAAGGAAATACTGTTATATGCAATACACAGTTATTTCACTGCCACAGGATACTGTTGAAGCCAAGAGTGTAGAATTTTAAATAGTTTCAGAATTGATGTAGCTAATGAGACCATCCAGAGTTACAAAAGTTAAGACTTAAAACTCTTGGTGTTTTTTTTAAAAACAGATATAAATCCTTGTGTTTCAAGGCATAAGGAAGCTTATAATGGGGGCTAGGAAGAAGCTTTCTGAGAGGACTGTTTATTCCGTAACTGCTACTGCAGGGTTCCTTGTAACTTTCTCTGAAGAATCCAGTACAGACCTCTGTCTCTCAGAATACTGGACAAGACAAATTGCTGGTCCCCATTTGTTTTAATTTCGGGGTGATGAGACAGATGTGAGTTGATAGCAGAACATTTTTGGTCTTTCTTGAATTTGCCCTTTCCGTGCTTAGGACTTAGGAAACCCGGGTTCAGTTCTCTCCTCCACTCAGACACTCCCCGTGTGACCTTGGGAAAACCACCGTGCCTCAATTTCCCATTTGTAAAAGAGGGAAAATAAAAATAGCACTATCCTACCTCAAGAGAGGGTGTTGGGAGGATAAATACATTAAAGATTGTGATGCTCTCATACTAGTGTGGTGCGGGGGCCATGAGTACCATAGATAGTTATTTATTCATTGGAACCAGAGTTGTTTCTTTCTGAAAGCCCGAACTAGGAATTTGCAAGTTGACTATTATTGGGAAGGTGGTTCCTGGATTATTATGGTGACTTTTGGATGGCTCGGTCTTCCAATTCTAACTACACAGGTTGAAATTTGTGAGCTGTAAGATCAGTGAAGAGCACATACAATGGTAGCTTTGTTGTTATATATGATTGCCATGTCAAAACAAAAAAAATTGGCCCATCTAGTTCAACAATGCCTGTACTTGATGCTTGACCAGCCACTTATAAAATATTTCCACTTTCAGATCACTTTGGATTTAGGAGGAAGAGAGTTCCTTAATCCTGTATAGCTATCAGCTTTTTCTTTCATTTTTCAGCCTTCTTCATTTTGAATCTCCTCCCCCCCCTTTTTTTCCCCCCCGCTTCTTCTGGTTTATGGGAAAGGATATATAGTCAATTTTATTTGATATGCTTTTTATGTCCACTTAATTCCAGACCTTCAAATCCTTCATGCTACTGCTCTTCCACTTTTGAGATTGGACAACTAAAATGGAGCACTATATTCAGCTGAGAACCTTTTATCTATTTTTTTATATTCTCTAGCATATATTTTTGATTGCTGCAACACATTGCATGGATGTCTTCATTGGTCTGCCCAAAATCTCATTTTAGTTTTGTGAGATCATTGTTAATCTGAACCCATGAATCTCAAATTTTAGTCCATAGTTTTTTTCCTGGGAAAAGAGCCAGGTTGTACTATTTCAGAGCTATGTACCATACTGTGTTTTTATTCTTAAATAAGGTTATAATTTCTATTGACTGACATGCATCTTTTGAATTTCATAGATGGCCTGAAAGGCACATTATGTTCTATTCTGGCCACCTGCACAATGCAGATCCTAGAATTTGATGCAGTAATTCCTATATCTAGTTCCATAATGTGTGGTTAAACTAGAACATCTTTCTTAGAAAGATATCTGACTTGATGATTACCTTTTGGTGATCTGTTCCACTGTGTAAATGCATTATTAAATTAATGTATTTTCTAGGAATCAAGATTCTTAGCCACATGAGATTTTTATTTATATAGAAGCACAGGTGTGCATGATCTTCAGACAAATAAAAAAGGTAGATTCTTAATACATGTTTACAATCTAAATTACACGTAACTGAGCAAGGAATGACACATGGGTTGGGGATGAGGAGGCAGAATAATGGAAAGATGAGCTACAATAATAAGATTGAGTGCTTTGCCATAATTTAACACTTCGTTGTGTTAAATTGATATATTTTGGCAAAATAAATTTGGTGTAAAAGTCAGAGTAGCATTTTTAAAGCAAGATCTCCTGTTCCTCATAGCTTCTAAAGTAAGAGTAATCACAAGCAAAAAGAACACTTGATTTCATCCCACATGGGGATTGTTCACGTACAGTGTAGATAAATGTAAGATAAAGCAAATAATGCAAAGGGGTACTATTGGAAACAGACTGTAAAGTTGGCTGATGAGAGGGACTGAGCTTGGCTACATTATCTCAGAAAACTGCTGAGGTAGCATCATTGCAAAAGTAAAACGTACCCCTTAGGAGGACTGGTATGCAAAAGAGAAGAAACTCCTGGATCAGGGTACCTGTTAAGGCAAGAAATGTATTATGCTAAATGTGGTAAAAGCGGCACGCTGTAGACTAATCACAAGGTCTCTGTCCTGAAAAGCATAGTCTAATTTTAACTTGACCTATTTAACAAAGGGGAAGGTAATAAAATAGTAGGGACTGGGTATACGAGAAGGAACAGGGATGAGAACCAGAAGAATACAAGGTTAATTACGGCAAGAGCATTATGGAAAAATGTGTGGATCTTCAATATAAATGACTCTCCTTGGTTGTATGGAAAAAGGGGGCTTGAGGAGGGATTTGGATGGGAAGGCATTCCATGTGTAGAAGGGCGGCATCTTAGACCACTTCTAGAAGCTACTTAGATTGTCCTCTAAACACCTTGTTCCTTTCTTTTCACACTAGCTCTGTAGAGATGATATTTAGTTGGCCACAGAAATCTTGTTTTCAGGAATTAAACGTCTCTGTATGTATTACTTTCTTTTAGATATTACATTCACACCTGATTTTTCTTAATGTAGTAGAAATATATTTAAAGTTATTTTTGTCTTTAAAAGTGACTTGCAATGGTTGGGAAGGGGGAATTAATCCTTTTTTAGTTTGATACACAAAGGAGATCTGTGAGGGGAGTTTGTTTTTTGTGTGTGTCTACCTCAGAAATATTAGGGATTTCAAGTCCTTTTTGTTGGGGATTGGAGATGTGTGTGTGAATTTGTTGAAGACTGCAATGTGGATTAGAAGCTCTCTTGGCTCTTAACTGATGGGAGAATAACACACTCTGCTCCCAAGTCTGATAATTAAATAGATGTCACAAAAAAAACAAGAAAAGCTTTTTAAACAGTCTGAATAAATCACTTGTCTCCTCAGATGGGTTTCACTTTTAATTTCTGTAATGTCATAATCATTTTTCTCCAGTTTCCCTTACTCTTACAGGGTAGACAAGATGTTTCATGCCTTGATCTCAAAGCAGCAAAAGGCACAAACCCTATTTTCTCTTCAGTGTAGGTTACCTTTATGACCAAGTTAAATGTAAAAATAACTTTCTGCTGTCATCTTATATAGGCCATATGAACACTAATCACACATCTCTCGTTACAGAGCTGTAGCAGCCTACTTACGAGCCTTGAGTCTGAGTCCTAATCATGCAGTTGTGCATGGCAACCTGGCCTGTGTGTATTATGAGCAAGGACTGATAGATCTGGCAATAGACACCTACAGACGTGCTATTGAGCTACAGCCACACTTCCCTGATGCCTATTGTAATCTGGCCAATGCTCTAAAGGAGAAAGGCAGTGTAAGGAGCACTTCTGTTTTCTTGCAGTCTGCTATATTTGAGAGGTTCAGCTGATACACTGCTACCTTGATATAACGCGACCCGATATAACACGGTAAAGCAGTGCTCCGGGGGGGCAGGGCTGTACACTCTGATGGATCAAAGCAAGTTCAATATAATGCGGTTTCACCTATAATGCAGTAAGATTTTTTTCGCTCCCGAGGACAGCGTTATATCAAGTTAGTGGTGTACTTATTTCAATGCCTTGAATGATAATGAACTTTAAGGTGGGATGTTGCCTTTAGTATTTGATTTGCTTGTCAGCTTGTAGGAGAAATAATACAAGCAAAAAATGCTCCATCTTAAAGCTTTTAAAGGTAGACATATTTACTCCTGAAGGAATTATGCACTAAAAAATTTAAAATTATGCACACATTTTAAAATTCTGCAAATGTTTTTGTCAGTAAATAAATGTGACTCCAGCATGGTAGTTGGGAGCACCGGTTACTGGCTGCTTTGAAGTGGGAGATCTGGTACAGGGACTCAGCAGTGAGGCTGTACCCAACCCTGACATAGTGCAAGAGCTGGGCCTGCCCAAGAAACACCATGGGGGTCCTACCCATCTGTGCCAGGTGCACTTGGTGTGGGTGGGCAGGCTCAGCCCAGCAGAATCAAAGTGTGGAGGGGCTTATTGTGGGGGGATCCAGGTATGGGGTGAGAAGTTCCTGTATGGGGCAATCTGGGTGTGGGTGGCTCAGTGGGAGATCTGGATGCACAGGGGCTCATTAGGGAGTTCTGGGTGCAGGGGATCCAGGTGAAGGTGGTTGCGGCTCAGGAGCGGGGGTGGGGGGAGTGGGGTCTGGGTCGTTTAGGGAGGTCCAGGTACAGTTGGTTGAGGGTCAGTGGAGTAGGGGTCTGTGTGGGGGACTTGTCTGAGGGATCCAGGTATAGGGGGTAGGGCTTGTCAGGGTGAGGGTTCGATGGGCCTGCTTAACGGGGGAGCCCCAGCTGCTGCTGAGAGCTGCATGCTGGGCTCCCGCTTTCCCCCGAAATCCTATCCCCTTTTCTTCTCCTTCCCCCTCCCCTCACCCCCACATTACTCTCCCCCCACCCTATTCCACCCTCCACCCCATTCCTTCCCCACTGCCTCTCTCTCCCCCGCCCTACCGCTGGCACTCAGTTGCACCGAAAACAGGAAGGTTCCCCAGCACACAGAAGGGGAGCACAACTGGCATTGGGGCCCGAGAGGCGGCGTTCAGCTGCAGTCATTGGAGCCAAGATGCAACCGCCTTCACCTGGGCAGCTCTGCAGTTGCAGAAATGGGGGGTGGGTGGCAGTGGCATGTAACCCTGTGTGCCCCCCATACCTCACCTCTGTTTGTGGGGGCATTCCCCCCCAAAAAATTGCACCCGTGGTCGTTTTCTGCAGGGAAGCACAGTAATTCTGCGGGGGAGCGGGAGTTCTGCGGGTATGCAGTCCCGAAGAATCCCCCCAGGAGTAACGTATTGTAGTGGTGACCACCTTATTGATATTTCTGTGGCAACATTGCTTAAACAGCAATTCCCTTGCTTGTTTATTTTAAGTACTGCTTGAACACAATTCTTTTTGTTTCTAAGGTTGCTGAAGCAGAAGAATGTTACAATACAGCTCTTCGTCTGTGTCCCACACATGCAGACTCACTTAATAACCTGGCAAACATCAAGCGAGAACAGGGAAACATTGAGGAGGCAGTTCGCCTATACAGGAAAGCTCTTGAGGTACATTTGGATATAAGGAAGAGGGTAGGATGTGGACAAAAAAGCTGGGAACATATGAGGGGTCGATTGTACTTGATAAAGAAGTAGATAGAGGCAGTGGTACTTCTGTTTAAGATTTGATTAATTTGCCAAGGAGACTACCCCTCTGATAGTTGTCCATTGTTAGCCGTGTTAGTCTGTATCCACAAAAACAACAAGAAGTCCTGTGGCACCTGAAAGACTAACAGATTTATTTGGGCATAAACTTTCGTGGGTTAACCCAGTTCTAACTCTTCTGCAATGTGATGCCCTGCGGGGGGGAGGGGTAGCTCAGTGGTTTGAGCATTGGCCTGCTAAACCCAGGGTTGTGAGTTCAATCCTTGAGGGGGCCACTTAGGGATCTGGGGCAAAATCAGTACTTGGTCCTGCTAGTGAAGGCAGGGGGCTGGACTCTATGACCTTTCAAGGTCCTTTCCAGTTCTAGGAGATAGGATATCTCTATTTATTTATTTATTTAAGATCTGAGGGGCAAACTAACTCTCTCCTTTGTTTCCTGTAGGTGTTCCCAGAGTTTGCTGCTGCCCATTCAAATTTAGCAAGTGTTCTGCAGCAGCAAGGAAAGCTGCAGGAAGCTCTGATGCATTACAAAGAGGCTATTAGGTAAGAATTTTGCTTTTTAAAATTCTCAAAGACTGGCGACAGGAATTCTACAGTCGTCTAGACAATGGCTTACAACTGTTATGCAAACCAATAATCGAATAGCAGTCTGGATGGGCATTCTTAGAGGACAGGCAACTTGTACTGTGGATAATGTATGGTGTGTTTTTTAATTTTAGAATCAGCCCCACGTTTGCAGATGCTTATTCAAATATGGGGAATACTTTAAAGGAGATGCAGGATGTTCAGGGAGCTTTACAATGTTACACCCGTGCCATCCAGATAAATCCTGCTTTTGCTGATGCCCACAGTAACTTGGCCTCTATTCACAAGGTATAGCCATGTTCATAACTTTTTTTATTTTATAACACGGTGATGCATTTGGCAAACTCATTCCTGAATCTGCTTGTGCTTGCTGATTTAGTCTCTGCTTTTGCAGGATTCAGGGAACATACCAGAAGCCATTGCTTCTTATCGCACTGCTCTGAAACTGAAACCTGATTTCCCAGATGCTTATTGCAACTTAGCCCACTGCTTGCAGGTGAGGAGAGAGGGCTGTGACTGTAATTCTATTGGAGATTACTCTAATGTAAATATCTAGGACTAACCACGTATTAAGGATCCAGTGTATCTATTTTAAAAGGAGCAGAAATAACTCTTGGTCAAATTAGAAAATAAGACTGTGGAGCCATTTTCTCTTACGGAACAGTGCTTGGGTCATAGGCGATTTGAAATACAAGGGAGCTGTAATGGTTATTAAAATACTTGTCAAGTGTCTTTTTATCTCTTGGAATGGAAGAAATGTTAATCACAGTCCCATGTAAACAGAACTTCTCAAAGCTCTGACCGGGGTTTAAAGTTGTTTAAAGTATTCTAACCAGCCATTTAATTTTTCATAAGAATGGCCAGGCTGGGTCAGACCAGTAGTCCATCTAGCCCAGTATCCTGGCTTCTGACAGTGGCCAGTGCCAGATGCTTCAGAAGGAATGAACAGTACAGGGCAATCATCATGTGATCCATCCCCTGTCATCCCATCCCAGCATCTGGCAGTCAGAGGCTAGGGACATCCAGAGCCATGGGATTGCATCGCTGACCATCTTGGCTAATAGCCATTGATGGACCTGTCCTCCATGAATTTAGCTAATTCTTTTTTGAACCCATTGTAGTTCTGGCCTTTACAACATCCCCTGGCAACAAGTTCCACAAGTTGACTGCATTGTGTGAAGTACTTCCTTTGGTTTTGTTTTAAACCTGCTGCCTATTAAATTCATTGGATGACCCCTGGTTCTTTTGTTTCTTCTTTTAGATTGTCTGTGACTGGACAGATTATGATGAAAGAATGAAAAAGCTGGTCAGCATTGTAGCTGATCAACTGGAGAAGAATAGACTGCCATCTGTCCACCCTCATCACAGCATGCTGTACCCCCTTTCTCACAGCTTTAGGAAGGCTATTGCTGAGAGACATGGAAATCTCTGTTTGGATAAGGTAGGAACTTTGAAGACTTTTCCATATACTTGGTTATACCTGAGGAAAAACAGATTGTGCTTTGGTCAATTATATTCTGGTATGTAATGCCAATTTTAAAATAGTGTTTCTCAGGCTTCAGATTTACCACCTTGTTGAGACTGATAGGTCTCTTTGCTTCCTGGTTTTGTACAGTGTGGTATTCTCTGGTATTGGGAAGAGGTCAGTCAGATTTAACAACCATCAGTTACGACTGCCAAAACCTCTTACTCTGGCAATTCCTCCCTCCTGCCCCCAATCTGACAGAGTTCTTCTGTGTGTGCCGTAGTGGTGTAGTGCGTCGGTCCCAGGAGAGCTTTTCTCTCTCCAACATAAGTTGGTCCAATAAAAGATATTGCCTCACCCACCTTGTCTCTCTAGAATCCTATGTTGTTCCCTCAATATCTGATCCTGCCTCATCTCCACACTGACCTATCCTGACCATGGACCCATAGGGTGGAACTCTTTTTTAGAACCGATTAACTCAGCTTTTTGCTTAGACTGACATGATCTGCTCTCTCCTACATTGCCTAATTGTGTTGCCAGTTCAATGCACTTAACATTTATCAGCCTGTATGCAGCACTTTAGTGACTGGCCCTATTGCTCCCTTAGTACACTAATCTTTTGATCAAATTTTGATACATGGCTTTTTTCTTTAACTAGCGGATGTGTAGACTAAGCTATACACTCAGTCAAGCCTCCATTTGAACTCAGATTTGGGTAACACACAGCTCGGCCTGTGTGAGCAACAAATGTGCAACCCTCTGCCTGAAATTTGGGAATTGGTCAGATGTGGTTTTCAAATATTATTAGGCGATAAGCAGAAACGTCATCAATGCAGTAGCATAGAAATTTAAATATGGGGAAAATTAATAACTCCGTGTAATTCTGAAAGTCTATCCTATTTACTATCTCAGCTCTTGATGCTTCTGATTTCATTTAAAGTTTATCATGTCTCAAAAAAATCTTGTGAATTTGATTGCCAGATCAACGTCCTTCACAAGCCACCATATGAGCATCCAAAGGACTTGAAGGCTAGTGAAGGCCGGCTTCGTGTTGGCTATGTGAGCTCTGATTTTGGAAATCATCCAACCTCCCACCTAATGCAGTCAATCCCAGGAATGCATAACCCTGACAAATTTGAGGTAAGAGAACATAAATAGCATGCTGAAAGTTTTAAATACCCAGGGAGCCTCTATTAGCTGTAACCTAGGGAAGGTAAAGTGCATGATTGTGCAGAAGGTTTGAGGTCACGTCCTCTTTCCTGGCAGTTCTTGGTGTATCACCTTTTGGAGGAGGAGGCGTCTCTTATATCCCAATAGCAGTTCATCTTGCCATTTATGAAGTGGCAGTGAAAGACCACCTGGAGATTCATCCCATCCTCCACTAGAGACACATAAGGGAGGAGCTGTTAATCATTGGGAGTACCCAAGGTACGGAAAAGGAAGTGGCTGACATTGTGTTGTATGTCCCAAGATATCGTCTAGTAGGGTCTTCCCCATTTAATCTTTTAAATTTCTTTATCATTTCTCATTTGTCTGCACGACCTGTCTTACAACAGGATCAGGATACCCAGTAATGCTACCGAACAGTAGCTGCATATCTGTTAGTTTAAAACTCTTCCTGCCCCAGTCACACTTCTTAATATTTATTGCACATTCTTATGAACCATTTTCAAGAAGACACTACACTCTCCCTCCTGGGTTATTTCTATCAAGGGATCCTCACTAGCTTCAGGTGTCCTGGCTACTCATTTGTAATTGAAACTGGAAAACAGATGTACAGTTGCAACATATTCAGTCACTCCCAATGAAGTAAGTATAACTATACCCCTAAAAATTGCCAGTTTTCTGAATTACTTTTGGTATAAATGGCTTCTTCAAGTGATAGTCCCTATGTACATTCCACACCAGTACGCATGTGCATCATACCCCTGAGCCCAGACATATTTAGTAAGCAGCAGCCATTGGTCCGCACATGCACATTTGTTCTTTGTGCTCTAAACCAAGAGTATAAAGGATGTTTGGAACCGATATCTCTCTAGTTCCTTCTTACCATTGCATGGCCTGAGTCAGAATCTTCTGTGTCCACAGCGGTTTCCTCAACTGGCATTCTGTAAATATAGCATAAATAGTTTTTAGTATTTTAAGCTATTAGACATAGTAGAGTGTGGTTGGTTTGGGTTCTTCCTCCTCCCCCCCTCCCCCCCCCACTAAGGAAATTCCCCCCCCAGAAAGCTGGGATTATGCACGGGGTTCAAGAATTGTTTTTGCCCCTTCTCGTTTTCTGTAGAACATCAGTGCTGCCTCTACAGCAATTTCATCATCATTCCCAGATAAGGCAGTTACCCCATCTTCACATTCCCCGCTTGACAATTTCAGGCAGTTACAGGACCTCTTGCACGGGGTGGTACCCGAGCTGCGAATACAACTTGAAGTAGTTCAGGATCCTAAAATAGATTGCTGGACATCTTGCAGCACTCTGGGCCCAGTCGAGCAGCCCCTCCTGATCAACAAAGCAAACATGGATCCAGCAAAAATAGTGTGGACACTCCCACCCCCAAGAGGACCAAGCAGTGCTGTTTTGTTCCACCAAGGGGGAGAGAGGGGTCTATTCTTGCACTTACCACACCTACCTTTTTTAGTGGTAGAAGTGGCCAGTGAGGGATCCTGGCTGCAAAACCAAAGAACTGCTTCATCAAACAAGGGTGCTAAATGCCTCATGTCACGCTGTCTGGAGTGGTTCATGACTGAGAGTGCCAACCTCAGGGCAGGCTGTCAAAAAGCAGCACAGACACCCCAAATGGGTGGTCTGTTCTATAATAAGATTTCACTAACCCAGTAACAAATGTGAACTGAAGCACTAAAACAGTCTTGCCATGGAGTCATGGACAGTCCCTTTGAGCACTCCAGTCTATCTTGCCACCTAGGCAAACTGGATTTAGTGATAAATGGTCACTTACACTAAAGTCCACAATATTCAATATCAAAAATACAATATCCCAAGAGAGCAGTCGCTTATGCCAGGTCAATTTGTACCTTAGATCTCACACCAAAGACTACACTTATAGCCAATCTTATGGTAAATTAAGTTTCTTCTTCGAGTGCTTGCTCATTTTGATTCCATTGTAGGTGTGCGCAATTGTCAGAGATATTTGCCTTAGCGGAATCTGTAGGGCCGGCTGTGGTGCCCCCTAAAGTGCTACGCACATGCCATGATATATCAGGCACTGCCGGCCCTATGCCCTCACAGTTCCTTCTTATTGCCTATGGTGGTCAGTCAGAACGCCTCTGTCCCTTGCTTTGCAGGTGGCCAGTGGTTCCTTTTCTTAGCCTTGTGCTTCTAGTTGTAAATAGCTTTATTGTTTAGTTGTTGAACCTCATCAGATTTCTTTTGGCCCAATCCTCCCATTTGTCTAGGTCACTCTGGACCCTATCCTATCCTCCAGCGTATCTACCTCTCCCTCCATATTAGTGTCATCCGTGAACTTGCTGAGGGTGCAATCCATCCCATCATCCAGATCATTAACGAAGATGTTAATGAACAAAACGGGCCCCAGGACCAACCCCGGGGCACTCCACTTGATACCGGCTGCCAACTAGACATCGAGCCGTTGATCACTACCCATTGAGTCCGGCGATTTAGCCAGCTTTCTATCCATCTTTATAGCCCATTCATCCAATCCATATTTTAACTTGCTGGCAAGAATGCTGTGGGAGACCGTATCAAAAGCTTTGCTGAAGTCAAGGTATATCACGTCCACCGCTTTCCCCATATCCACAGAGCCAGTTGTCTCATCATAGAAGGCAGTCAGGTTGGTCAGGCATGACTTGCCCTTGGTGAATCCATGTTGACTGTTCCTGTTCGCCTTCCTCTCCTCCAAGTGCTTCAGAATGGATTCCTTGAGGACCTGCTCCATGATTTTTCTGGGGACTGAGGTGAGGCTGACCAATCTGTAGTTCCCCGCATTCTCCTTCTTCCCTTTTTTAAAAGATGGGCACTATATTTGCCTTTTTCCAATCATCCGGGACCTCCCCCGATTACCATGAGTTTTCAAAGATAATGGCGAATGGCTCTGCAGTCACATCTGGCCCCATGGCATTGTGCATGTCCAGCTTTTTAAAATAGTTCTTAACCTGTTCTTTCACCACTGAGGGCTGCTCACCTTCTCCCCATACTGTGCTGCCCAGTGCAGCAGTCTGAAAGCTGAACTTGTCTGTGAAGACCAAGGCAAAAAAAGCATTGAGTACTTCAGCTTTTTCCACATCATCTGTCACTAAGTGGCCTCCCCTATTCAGTAAGGGTCGCACACTTTCCCTGACCACTTTCTTGCTGCTAACATACCTGTAGAAACCCTTCTTGTTACCCTTCACGTCCCTTGCTAGCTGCAACTCCACCTGATTACACCCCCAGCATGCTCAAGAAATATTTTTATACTCCTCCCTAGTCATCTATCCAAGTTTCCACTTCTTGTAAACTTCCTTTTTGTGTTTAAGCTCACTGAAGATTTCTCTGTTAAGCCAAGCTGGTCACCTGCCATATTTGCTATTCTTTCCGTGCCCTCAATAAGACTTCTTTAAAATACAGCCAGCTCTCCTGGACTCCTTTCCCCCTCATATTAGCCTACCAGGGGATCCTGACAATCAGTTCCCTGAGGGAGTCAGAGTCTGCTTTTTCTGAAGTCTGGGGTCCGTATTCTGCTGCTCTCCTTTCTTCCTTCTGTCATGATCCTGAACTTGACTATCTCATGGTCACTGCTGCCCAGGTTGCCCCCCACTTCTGCTTTCCCCTAACAATTCTTCCCTGTTTGTGAGCAGCAGGTCAAGAGGAGCACTGCCCCTAGTTGGTTCCTCCAGCACTTGCACCAGGAAGTTGTCCCCAACACTCTCCAAAAACTTCCTGGATTGTCTGTGCACTGCTGCATTGCTTTCCCAGCCGATGGGGGGGGGAGATAGCTCAGTGGTTTGAGCATTGCCCTACTAAACCTAGGGTTGGGAGTTCAATCCTTAAGGGCGCCACTTAGGGATCTGGGGCAAAAATCTGTCTGGGGATTGGCCCTGCTTTGAGCAGGGGGTTGGACTAGATGACCTCCTGCGGTCCCTTCCAACCCTGATATTCTATGATTGAAGTCCCCCATCAGAACCAGGGCCTGTGATCTGGAAACTTCTGTTAGTTGTCCGAAGAGAGCCTCGTCTACCTCATCCTCCTGGTCTGGTGGTTTATAGCAGACACCCAATACGACATCACCCTTGTTGCTCTCGCCTCTAAACTTAACCCAAAGACTCTCAACAGGCTTTTCTCCAGTTTCATACTGGAGCTCCGAGCAATCATACTGCTCTTTTACATACAGTCCAACTCCTAGATCTTTTCTCCCCTGCCTGTCCTTCCTGAACAGTTTATACCCATCCATGACTGTGCACCAGTCATGTGAGTTATCCCACCAAGTCCCCGTTGTTCCAATCACATCATAGTTTCTTTACTGTGCCAGGACTTCCAGTTCTCCCTGCTTGTTTCCCAGGCCTCCTGCATTCGTGTATAGGCACCTCAGATAACTAGCCGATTGCCCTACTTGCTCAGGGGTTAGGTCTCCATCCCCTGGCAAACCTAGTTTAAAGCCCTCCTCACTAGGCTAGCCAGCCTGCCTGCGAAGATGCTCTTCCCTGTCTTCGTTAGGTGGATCCCATCTCTTCCTAGCAATCCTTCTACCTGGAACAGGAACCTCCATTTCCTACATTCTTACTAAGAGTAAACCAGACTAGTATGAAGGAAGCAGTACCACTTAGTGGGGAAAGTGGACTGGAGCTCAAATCTGGGGTCCGTTCCCAACTATGTCACAAGTTCAATGTGTGGCTGAGCACATATCTTAATCTCCTGAGCAAAATAAGGATACTGCCTACCTTTGTAAAGTATTGTGAGAGCTTTACTTAAAGCCAGAATACTTAAACCAAAGTGTTTTGGTTTTATTCGCAAAGACGCTTTATTTATTGGATCAGTCAGAACTGACTGAAACTTCCCCAGGTCACAACATCCCTTTGCGTTCAAAACACTGACAGCTGACTTAATCAACCTAAACTTTCATATATACTTTGAAAAAAGAACAGGAGTACTTGTGGCACCTTAGAGACTAACAAATTTATTAGAGCATAAGCTTTCGTGGACTACAGCCCACTTCTTCGGATGCATATATACTTTGGAAACTTGTTCCCCGACTCCCTTTCTCTTTGCCTCTCTTATGGTGACGCTTGTGATTATCTTCCTTATAAACACAAAAAGTACTACTACTTTCAGATTAGCCGAGAGATATAAAAATAGCAAATTTATATCAGACTGATACCCTGTCATCTTCATGAAAGAGCTGCTTTAGCTACATTTGGAAATTTTAACAAGTAAAAAAAATTTTTTTTTTTTAATCTCTGGTACAAACATTAATGGTGGCAGGAAGTCAGTAAATACCTAGTAGCAGAGGGGTAGCCGTGTTAGTCTGGATCTGTAAAAAGCAATAGAGTCTCCTGTGGCACCTTTAAGACTAACAGATGTATTGGAGCATAAGCTTTCATAGGTGAATACCCACGAATGTACATGCGTCTGACAAAGTGGGTATTCACCCACGAAAGCTTATGCTCCAATACATCTGTTAGTCTTAAAGGTGCCACAGGACTCTCAGTAAATACCTATGTTGGCTTCTAAGCAGAGTGTGGCAGTGAAACATCTTAACTTGTTCTGGAGTGAGGATGTTGTTTCACTATATACCAATGAAAAGATAAACCCCAAACGGAACTTGAATCCACTATTTCATGCTGAAGTCAGCATCTGGCCCTCTAAACCAGTGGTTCTCAAACTTATTTGAGCCCCGCTTCTTTGTGTCTGTAGTCACTATGGCTTCCCACCCCCAGGTACATATACCGCCATTCAGCTCTGAAGGCAGAGCATTGGCTGCTCGCTGAGTGCCCTGCTCTGAAGGCAGCACTGCGCCAGCAGCAGCATAGCAGTGTCAGGGAGTCAACAGGATACTTAGCTCCCCATTGCTACCCTTATTCCTGCACTACTGCTGCTGCAGGGCTGACAGTCAGAGTCCTGTCACCTCCAGCTGAGGGATTTGGGGGCTGAGAGGGAGGAGTGCCTGAGTTCAGGCATTATCCCCACTTCCTGGATGTGCACAGCCCTTATGCATGAGTCCCAGCCACCTGGGGCTGACAGCCACTGCTCTTCACAAAAGAAATAAAAAAGCACACAGCTCACGCCTCTCTTGGGAGGCCTGCCTCATAGTTTGAGAACCGCTGCTCTAGACTAATTGGGTTCATGCAGGTTGACTGTTTGAATCAGTGACCAGTAAATATTAGATTTACTAAAGGTAAAAATGTTTGCATACCTTGTCACCCTTTGCTTTTGTCACTGGATCCATGTCACACTTCTAATTGGAGAGTTGCATACTGCTTTCTCCAGAACTTATCCACTGATTGGCTGGAGACTCAATAATGAAAAATGGGCTGAGTGTAAATATCAATCCAAAAGAGAGACCAGTTGTGAAATTTACACTTTTAACAAACACTTAAGCTGCTTATATGCAATTTTCGTAAACCTTATTTAGGATTTTTCGTGTTCAAAGCACTTACAAAATAACTGGCTAATGTTTGTGTAAAATAAAATTAAACTTGGTCCTAAACAATTTCCTCTTTTGAATGAGGATAACATGTAGAGTAATTACATAGCATTTATGATGAAATTTTAGTCAATAGGCTAAATTTCATGTACTTATATTAACTTGTAGTGCTGTATATCCTAGGTGTTCTGTTATGCCCTCAGCCCTGATGATGGGACAAACTTCCGTGTAAAGGTGATGGCGGAAGCAAATCATTTCATTGACCTCTCTCAGGTGAGCTTTCATTCTTTTGAATTTGCAGCATGTTTTTCAGAAATGGAGATCTCAACCTGTGGTTAAGGATCCTGGCCACAGTGAATTTCTTGGAGCACAAATTATGCTCACAGGTAATGGTAAGAGTGATCTTCAGAATTCTTGAGTTTGTGGTAGTGTATGTTTGCAGTTTCATCGTTGTGGAGGGAATCGATGGGCATCGTGTGAACTTTGAGTGTGACTATTGGAATTTTATTAATGTGGGTGGCTGGTTGTGGATTAAAACGATAGTCATGCACATAGCTTAAGTTGATCAAGGAGACTTGCTACAGTGGCTGAATATTTTGGGCTTGATTCTTGGGTACATTAAGGCTGCTGTATGCTACTCAAACAATAATAAAGCAACCATGGCGTAGCAGGTTGGTGAAAGATTCCACCTGCGTAATGGAATAACTGAGAGATTTAGGCACTGGAGCAGCTTCTACCTCCATCACCTCTTTGGATCAAAGGTATGTGGCAAAAGTTTTACTACATCCTAAATGATCCTCAGATGCAAAAACAGTGTCTGGAGTCCAAGGATGGCTGGCATACATTAGGGCAGTCCTGCAAATCCTCTAGCACTCAATGCTTTTTTTTGGTCTCTGTCTACACGAACAAGGTCAGCTCCCAGACTGCTGCACTGGGCAGCACAGCATGGGGAGGTGGTGACCAGCCCTCTGTGGAGAAAGAAGTGGTTCAGGACTATTTAGAAAAGCTGGATGAGCACAAGTCCGTGGGGCCGGATGCACTGCATCCCAGGGTGCTAAAGGAGTTGGCAGATGTGATTGCAGAGCCATTGGCTGTTATCTTTGAAAACTCACGGTGATCGGGGAGGTCCCGGATGACTGGAAAAAGGCTAATGTAGTGCCCATCTTTAAAAAAGGGAAGGCGGAGGATCTGGGGAACTACAGGCCAGTCAGCCTCACCTCAGTCCCTGGAAAAACCATGGAGCATATCATCAAGGAATCAATTCTGAAGCATTTAGAGGAGAGGAAAGTGATCAGGAACAGTCAGCATGGATTCACCAAGGGCAAGTCATGCCTGACTAACCTAATTGCCTTCTGTGACAAGATAACTGGCTCTGTGGATGAGGGGAAAGCAGTGGACGTGATATACCTTGACTTTAGCAAAGCTTTTGATACGGTCTCCCACAACATTCTTGTCAGCAAGTTAAAGTAGTATGGGCTGGATGAATGTCCCACTGTCAGACATATGCAAGGCAGCTACCTGGGCATCGAACCTTACCTTCACCAATCACTACGCTCTCATCCACACTGCAGCATCTGACACCAGATTGGGTAGAGCTGTCTTGTCAACAGCCTTCTTGCCTCATCCGAAGTCCCTACCATCCTAAGGGATACTGCTTTTCAATCACCTGAAGTGGAGCACCCACAGGGACATCTCTTGAAGAAGAGGAGGTTACTCCCCCTGTGCAGTAACTGACGTTCTTCGAGATGAGTGTCCCTGTGGGTGCTCCACTACCCGCCCTCCTCCCCTCTACTTCGGAATTTGTAACACACTCCGTTTCAGAGAAGGAACTGAGGAGCCCGGGCTATGCACGCGCTATTAGAACACTGACAGCTCGAGAAAAAGGCACAGCGCGTGCGTAGCCGTAGGGGTACTGCTGTAGAAATCTCTGATCGAAGGCACTGGGACACACCTAAACCTGAAGTGGAGCACCCACAGGGACACTCATCTCAAAGAACATCAGTTATTGCACAGGGTAACCTCCTCATCTTGGAATCTGAGTTTGTCTGCATCTTCCACACCATAGCTATTTGGCCTTGTAGCAGGGTCTTTCTCGCCATTTGGCATCTGGGGATTTAAAAATAAATAAACCTTCTGAGAGCTGCTCTCTCTCCTGTCTAGACTGGTAGCAATAGTTGCCGCAGTGAGCCCTCCATTGGTCAATATTTCTGACCTCCTGTCTGGTTCAAAGGAGGCAGACTGTGTAGGAGATTTGCAAGAATCCTCTCCTGGCCTGCAAGAAGGGCTTGTCTGTGTTGCCACCTAATGTTTTCTGACTGTTCCAGGAGTTACTAGGTTACATGCCAGAGGCTTAGGCATTGAAGAGTTTGACCTACCAGGACAAGATGTGCACCTGTTGTTCAACATAGAATCATAGATGTGTAGGGATGGAAGGATCTCAAGAGGTCATGAACTACCCTTATAGTTAAAACTTTTCCTAATATCTAACCTAAATCTCCCTTGATGAAAATTATGCCCTTTACTATTTGTCCTGCCTACAGTAGATATGGATTACTGTCCTCTTTCTAAGGCCATATCTACACTACATAGTTAAGTTGACTTTATTTAAGTCGATACTGAGCCACTGATTTAAGCAAGTTGATCTTGTGTGTCCACACAACGCTCATTGTGTCGGCTGAGTGCATCCTCACTAGCAGGACTTGCATCGACGCACCGAGCACTGCACTGTGGGTAGCTATCCCACAGTGCATGTAGCAGAGTGGAATTTTGGGTTGGGCTTGCAGTGCCTTATGGGACCAAAACATTGATGTGGGTAATTATGGGAACATGGAGTTAGCCTCCCATGATGCACTTGCCTCCCTCCATCCTTCTCTCCCTGAAATTAATGGCAAACAAACCAAACCTTTTTTATGCCTCTCTTCATAATCCTGGGTTACCTGTGCAGACGTCATAGCATGATAAACGTGGACCCCGTTCAGCTGTACACTGTTGTGAGCATTACAAACATCTCGCACCTTCTTCTGCAGTATTTACATAGCCGATACGGGAGCCGCCGCACAGAACGGTGTAATGCCACGCAAGTAACGCTGCTGGAAGATGTAGAGCAGAGCAATTCGCAGTTGCTGGCGACAGTCATGCATCACCTTGACACGGTTGAGTGCCATTTCTGGGCCCAGGATTCAAGTATTGAATGATGAGACTGCATCATTATGCAACTATGGGATGACCAGCAATGGCTGCAGAACTTTTGAATGCGTAAGGCCACTTTTGGGATAGCTCAGTGGTTTGAGCATTGGCCTGCTAAACCTAGGGTTGTGAGTTCAATCCTTGAGGGGGCTATTTAGGGAACTGGGGCAAAATCAGTACTTGGTCCTGCTAGTGAAGGCAGGGGGCTGGACTCCATGACCTTTCAAGGTCCCTTCCAGTTCTATAAGATAGGTATATCTCCATATAGTGTGACGCGTATCTCTGTTGCTCCTTACCAAACTGTCCCCTCCATTGCATTTTCTTCCCTGTAAACTCCACCACTACCAACCACCGTGTGTTGAATGAATAAAGAACCTTTTCTTCTCAATCCATTTAAGTTTTATTATGCACACCGAACACAAAGACAGCAAAGAAAAGTAAGATAACCTGGGGCAAAAGGGCTAATACTGGGGGACGGCGAGAAAAACAAGAAAAGCTTAAAGAAGAACAGGAGGACTTGTGGCACCTTAGAGACTAACAAATTTATTAGAGCATAAGCTTTCGTGGACTACAAGAAGTGGGCTGTAGTCCACGAAAGCTTATGCTCT